ATTTTCTCAGCTATTGAGGCTTACAGTGCTTTAAATTGTATTTGAATTTCAGAGAGCAGTAAACTATTTAAGATACATTGAACTTTAATAAATACAAAGCACTGTAAAGATTAAAATTACTATACATTGTAAGTGTACTATTTTAGTCTCCATTTATGAAGAACTTTTCCAAGAGAGACTTGCTGAGTTAATTATAATCTTCTATAGTGACTAAGCATAGCTGCCTTATTTCTCATTCTACAATCTTCATCTTCTATCTGGAACTGGGGATCTTAGTTTTTATGGTAGGACTGGTTGATATGCCAGAAAACCTGAATGCTGAATTTGTAAACTATTTAGTCAGTATAAGTATACAGTATATCCTAACTATTATTGTTATTATTATGTCCCATAGAAATTATTTTTTATATTACTGAATGTTTACCTTTTCAATAAATACATGTATGCATACTGAGAACAAGTAGATTCTTTTGTGAAGGAACATAAAAAAGGATAGGCAGGGTTTGCACATGGCTCAACAATTCCACTCCTTGGTACCTACCCAAGAGAATTAAAACCTATGTGTACACAAAAACTTGTATATGAATGTTCATAGCAGCATTATTCATAATAGCTAAAAAGTTGAAAAAATTCAAATGACCATCACTGATAGATGACTAAATCAGATGTGGTATATCCATACAATGCAATATTATTTGGCAATACAAAGCAAAGAGGTGCTAACACATGTTACAACACGGATAAACTTTAAACATGCTATGCTAAGTGAAAAAAGTCACACCTAAAAGACCACACATTCTATATTTCCATTTATGTAACAGGTCCTGAATAGGCAAATCTATCAAGAAAGAAAGTAAATTAAGTGGTCGCCTGGGGTGGAGGGTTCCAGGGAAATAGGGAGTGGCTGCTAATGGGTACGTTGTTTCTTTTTGGGGTAATAAAAATGTTCTAAAAATTGGCTGTGGTGATGGTTGCACAACTCTGAATACACAAAAAAAATTGGATTATACCTTTTAAATAGGTGGATTGTATGGTATATGAATTATATCTCCAGACAGTTCTTAAGAAAATCTACATAGGCTCTTCCCCTGATTGCTGTGATCACAAATGTTCCTTTTAGGTTTACTGATACATAGTAGAAAAGTAAGGCTTCTGAGAAATGTGTTTGCCTATTGAACTATAAAGGTAATCTTCAACTATAAAGCCTATGATATTTTAACTACTTATGCTATCAATTTTGTACTAGGAAATTAAATTTGACACTTTAAGTTTTAAAAACCAGTAACTGACCGATCTCGTTTTAATTAATTTTACCCTATAAATATTCTGTGTCTTTGTTAAGCAGAGATAACATTTGATTTATTTAACTCTCTACAGCAAGTTCACTCACTAGGTTTTTGACTTTGAGCAAATTATATAACATATTTGTGCCTCAGTTTNAGTGAGAACTAGCCTGACACACAGTAGGAAGTAAAAACAAAATATTGACTGAATCAATGCATAAAATGAATGTATATTTAGGGACTATTTGATGATGTATAGCACATGGTTTGAATATTTAAGCCAAATTGGAAACACACGATTTTTACAAACTGTTAACTACAGCTTTTCGGACTCTGTAAAAATATTTAATACTAATGAAAAAGTCCCTTACTAATGAAAAAAATCCATTACTAATGGGATTTTTCACAAAGACTACCCTGGTTTTTATCATTTCTTTCTGTGCCTGAAATGGACAGCTTCAACTTTCTTATGCAATGCACCACATTCTATAGGGATAAAGATTCTTTTTTAATTAAAATGATGTTGGAATAGGGGAATTTGTTCATGTTTTGATTCCAAAGTAGTTTGTTATTAGTTATGATTGAATTTAAATTCAAATGAAACTGAGAAGTTGCTCATACAATAGTTCACTATGTCCTATTGTGTTATATAACTTAGTGGAAACTTCAGAAGTATTATAAATTCAAAAAATTATCCAGAATGCAGAAGTTGACCTGGGGAAAACTGTCCATTAAAAAAAAATTTTTTTTAATTCAGACACATATTCACTTAGAACAGATAAATTTAAGTTGTGAAAAGTTAGATGTAACAAAATTGTAAGCAGTGTGGAGCCACATGGTCAGTTATCCAAGGGGAGCAGAGTAGGAGGGAGGCGAGAAGAGCAAGATCTGAAATAAAAGTACGAAATGATTTATTATTTGTGAGAAATTCCCCCAAAAGGACTCAGCTTTGTTTGCTCACAGACTGCACAAAGCTTTTTCAGAACTAAGTAATTCTAAGTATCCATACCCCATTAGATTTGCTGACGTCTGCATTTGCCACATTCTCCACACACTTCCAAAGTTGACTTTCTAAATAAAAAAATTTGCTTCCAGTCACAGAGACCTTCAAAAATGTTCCCTGAATACATCATCCTACTCTGAGCCTCTCTACTTACTGCTCTTTCTGTCTGGAATGATTTCCTCCTCTTCTAGAAAACAACTCCTTATCCTTTAAAAACTAATTCAAATGTAATTGTTTCTGTGAAGTTTTTTCCAACTCCTCTAAGAGACTTGGTTACTTTCTCTGCAAAGTTCCCATAACTCGGTTCACAGCATGTGTAACAGCAAACTGTAATGATCTGTTTCTATTCTGACATTCCCACTAGTCTGAGTCTTCTTCAGGAGCGTAAGGACCAGGGATTAGTCTTCTTTGAATCTTTAGCAACTA